CACATTTTGATAAAGAGGCCCCTTCTTCCAGGACACATTTTGATAAGAGGCCCCTTCTTCCAGGACACATTTTGATAAAGAGGCCCCTTCATCCAGGACACATTTTGATAAAGAGGCCCCTTCATCCAGGACACATTTTGATAAAGAGGCCCCTTCTTCCAGGACACACTTTGATAAAGAGGCCCCTTCTTCCAGGACACACTTTGATAAAGAGACCCTTCTCCCTGGACACATTTTGATAAAGAGGCTTTCCTTCCAGGACACACTTTGATAAGAGACCCTTCTTCCAGGACACATTTTGATAAAGAGGCCCCTTCTTCCAGGACACATTTTGATAAAGAGGCCCCTCTTCCAGGACACACTTTGATAAAGAGGCCCTTCTTCCAGGACACACTTTGATAAAGAGGCCCCTTCTTCCAGGACACACTTTGATAAAGAGACCCCTTCTTCCAGGACACACTTTGATAAAGAGACCCCTTCTTCCAGGACACACTTTGATAAAGAGACCCCTTCTTCCAGGACACACTTTGATGAGGTTACCCCTTCTCTGTTTCTTAAGTGATGTTAATGAATTAATTTCCGTTGGGCCCAAATTCAGCAGCATCTTATTGTGGATGTCAACTGATGCTGGTGCTTGGTGGGGCTTGAGTTTCTTTAGTGCTCAGGATCTCTTTAAACGAAAGGCCGGAATACGGAGCTCTTCCTTTAGACTTGTCATTTATACGGGATCTGTTTTGTCATCTATACGGGATCTTACTTGTCAGCTATACGGGATTTGAATTGTCATCTATACGGGATCTGACTTGTCATCTATACGAGATCTGACATGTCATGTATACGGGATCTGTCATGTAATCTTATTCTGATTCTGATAGACTACGTTGCTGCGTCCATGCACTGGCAGACGTGCAACGGTTTGGTAAACGGTGCGGCCATCCGAACGGCTCCTAGCCGGTGCCAGGGCAGCCTTGAAGCTCTCGAGTGATGTGGAGTCCACGGTGGCATTGTCCATGTGGTTATTGTTCGTGGGAAGAATGATTGTTTATATTGAACTGTGTTACACCGAGGCACAGTAAAGCATTTATCATTGTTCCGGATGTAACTGCTCATGGAGTTGTTAGAGGTGAAGTCAGTGTTCATTGAGTGTTTGGCTCCAATTAAGCAACCTGGCTTCTGCGGGGCTAGAAACGCGTTAGCTAGAATGGCCGGCACTAACCCCGTGGAAACGTTATAGAGAAACTATACGGAATCTGTCTCTCTCCGTCTTTCTATTTGCAGGGTTGATGAAGGGAAAACGTGTAATGAAAATTGCTGCATTCTTTTTGCCATTGCCATTTTTTTTTTGCACAGAAGATGGCATGATTAACGTTACTATAAATAAAGATTGCAGATTTATAAATACTGTGCTTAGACTTCCATTGATAAGATTATACCATAATTTAAGATCTCATGATTAATAATCTCATGATAGAAATTCTAATTCATCTACGTAAGCCTAATGAATAAAATGCACCTTTCAAATGAGAACACAAACAAAAGAACTTAAGTTAAAGTTAAAATTAGATCATTTGATGTTCAACTAGTCAGTTAATAGAAGGAATTGTGTAGCCTCAAATCGAAAAATACAGTGTTTTACTGTAATGGTGTGGGGAACTAGTTAATTACAATAATGGTGTGGGGAAATAGGGAATTACATTAATGGTGTGGGGAAATAGGGAATTACATTAATGGTGTGGGGAAATAGGGGACATTAAATGCTATTTATAAAAATGCATGTCACTACTTACATGTGAGTTCCATCATCTGTGACATAATTAATAATTTTACTACTTATATGTTAGTTCCATCATCTGAGACATAATTAATCATGTCACTATTTGCATGTTAGTTCCATCATCTGTGACATAATTAATCATGTCACTATTTACATGTTAGTTCCATCATCTGTGACATAATTAATCATGTCACTATTTACATGTTAGTTCCATCATCTGTGACATAATTAATCATGTCACTATTTACATGTTAGTTCCATCATCTGTGACATAATTAATCATGTCACTATTTACATGTTAGTTCCATCATCTGTGACATAATTAATCATGTCACTATTTACATGTTAGTTCCATCATCTGTGACATAATTAATCATGTCACTATTTACATGTTAGTTCCATCATCTGTGACATAATTAATCATGTCACTATTTACATGTTAGTTCCATCATCTGTGACATAATTAATCATGTCACTATTTACATGTTAGTTCCATCATCTGTGACATAATTAATCATGTCACTATTTACATGTTAGTTCCATCATCTGTGACATAATTAATCATGTCACTATTTACATGTTAGTTCCATCATCTGTGACATAATTAATCATGTCACTATTTACATGNAAATAAAATTTTCTTTGTCTTACATTTTCCTTCCCTTTTTTTTTTTTAATTACAACACACTGGAGGAATTGATGAATCCTTATGGGATGAAATTCTCCTTAAATAACTGTTTTACAACTTTTAGTCTCCCACACATTTGTTATAACTTTTAGTATCCCACACATTTGTTATAACTTTTAGTATCCCACACATTGGTTACAACTTTTAGTATCCCACACATTGGTTACAACTTTTAGTATCCCACACATTGGTTACAACTTTTAGTATCCCACACATTTGTTACAACTTTTCGTATCACACACATTTGTTACAACTTTTAGTATGCCCCACATTTGTTACAACTTTTAGTATGCCCCACATTTGTTACAACTGTTGGTATTCCATACATTTTGTATTTTTATTTATCATTTTCATTAAAAAATTCTTTGTATTAAAAATACGAGGACAATCTGACAATCTGTTACTTGCACTTAAAATTAAATAAAATATCGAGACCAATCTTTAGATTTCTTTATTTTTTGCATTGACATGCCACTTCTCATTGTTCTGTATATTTGATAGATTAACGGGATTTACCTGTTTCACATTGTATTCGGAACTTACGATGATTCAACTGAACAATCACAATTACAAGACATCAGTAGCCTGGTTGGAAGTGGAATGGAACAATTCTCATTGAAGGAACGTGATGCGTTTTCTCATGAAATCTCCTAAATAACCAGAGAGTTGATTTTGTGAGCTTTTAATGGGAAATGTTGTGTTGACAAGTCCTAGACAAGCCGTCCTACATGGTCTGAGAAGTCCTAGACAAGCCGTCCTACATGGTCTGAGAAGTCCTAGACAAGCCGTCCTACATGGTCTGACAAGTCCTAGACAAGCCGTCCTACATGGTCTGACAAGTCCTAGACAAGCCGTCCTACATGGTCTGACAAGTCCTAGACAAGCCGTCCTACATGGTCTGACAAGTCCTAGACAAGCCGTCCTACATGGTCTGACAAGTCCTAGACAAGCCGTCCTACATGGTCTGAGAAGTCCTAGACAAGCCGTCCTACATGGTCTGAGAAGTCCTAAACAAGCCGTCCTACATGGTCGGTAAAGTTCAAGAAAAAGTTGTGTTATAGGGTGGGGGACACAAGTTCCTTGCTTCAAGATTACACCAAGACGTTGTCTGGGGTTGGCTGACTTATGAATGTCTAGGGTCAAGTCATGTACACATGACGGTGTGTGCGGTCCAGCTTTGTACACATGAGGGAGTCTGGAGTCCAATTATGTACACATGATGGTTTCTGAGGGTCCAGCTATGTACACATGACGGTTCTGGGGTCCAGCTATGTACACATGACGGTTCTGAGGTCCAGCTATGTACATATGACGGTGTCATCTTCTAAAGTACATCTAAATATTTTTTAAAAAATATTTTTATGTCAACCTATCTTCATCAAAAGACAAAAACCTGCCAAATGTCAACGTGTGTACCAAACGTGTATTTAATTCTTTTTCAACACACAATGTGTTTTCAGTATCTGGTTGATCTGAGACATGATGTATCTGTCACGCGCCGATCACGAGGTGTTATCTGGAGTGGGTCAGATACGATCAACTCTGTGTTATAACGCAGTCTACGTTGGTGGGATGACCACGCAGTAGTTCTCAACTCGGCATTACTCGATACCCTTAAGCCCTTCAACCCTTTGTTTAAGCCAAGCAGTAGCTATGCACTGAATCATACTTTACGTCATTAGGAAATATTCACAACTATCTGATACACCCATGTTTCACTACGGGGGTGGGGGCAGGGGGGGGGGAGTCATTGCCCTTATTTGCGTATGTTATAAACTAAGCATTAGTGTATGTCATCTCTATTGGCTTGTCAAGAGATTACTTGCATTGAGCAAATTGTGACAAGCGTTTATAATTGTATAAAAAATGTACATTCAATCGTCTCACGCCTCTATTGAATACAAGTGCAAACAAAGCAAGTCATATTTTAAAAATCTGCCATTATTTGTTCATTATTTGTTTATTTTTTTAACAAGGTTTTATTTTCCTGTTTCTAATTCTAAGTTTAACAAACGTGTATTAAAGTAACGCACTTCCGGTGTGTTGAAGAATCACGATTGGTGCAAATTTTTACAAGTAATTATTTTGCGCGCCTAGTGTGCATATTCACAACCAAACACCGCACACCGCACACAAATACAATTAAAATTATATCAATAAATGATAATAGGCGAAAGGTTAGTGTTATAATAGTCAGACGTTTGATGTTATAATAGGCACAAGTTTGGTGTTATAATAGTCAGACGTTTGATGTTATAATAGGCACAAGTTTGGTGTTATAATAGGCACAAGTTTGGTGTTATAATAGTCAGACGTTTGATGTTATAATAGGCACAAGTTTGGTGTTATAATAGGCACAAGTTTGGTGTTATAATAGTCAGACGTTTGATGTTATAATAGGCACAAGTTTGGTGTTATAATAGTCTGACTTTTGATGTTATAATAGGCACAAGTTTGGTGTTATAATAGTCAGACGTTTGATGTTATAATAGGCACAAGTTTGATGTTATAATAGTCAGACGTTTGATGTTATAATAGGCACAAGTTTGGTGTTATAATAGTCAGACTTTGATGTTATAATAGGCACAAGTTTGGTGTTATAATAGTCAGACGTTTGATGTTATAATAGGCACAAGTTTGGTGTTATAATAGTCAGACGTTTGATGTTATAATGGGCACAAGTTTGGTGTTATAATAGTCAGACGTTTGATGTTATAATAGGCACAAGTTTGGTGTTATAATAGTCAGACGTTTGATGTTATAATAGGCACAAGTTTGGTGTTATAATAGTCAGACGTTTGATGTTATAATAGGCACAAGTTTGGTGTTATAATAGAAACAAGTTTGATGTTATAATAGGCGCAAGTTTGATGTTATAATAGGCACAAGTTTGGTGTTATAATAGTCAGACGTTTGATGTTATAATAGGCACAAGTTTGGTGTTATAATAGTCAGACGTTTGATGTTATAATAGGCACAAGTTTGGTGTTATTGGCACAAGTTTGATTTTATAATAGGCACAATTTTGATGTTATAATAGGCACAAGTTTGATGTTATAATAGGCACAAGTTTTTATTACGTCTGTTTAATTTAGAGCGTAAACACCCCCCCCCCCCTGCCTTCCATTCAACACAAGAATCCCTGACACATGTGATATCTTTTGGGAGATAATGACTATATAAATAACCTGACTGATATAAACAAAGTTATTGGTCCATTAACTTAGTGGAAGCACTACTGAAGACCCGATCGACTAAGCACTATCTTATTCTCCACCAACCATGTCCACGGTACACGTGCTGGTGCTCCTGCTGGTCACACTGACCTCTGTGGATGCTTTGTCTCATGGATGCCTGGACCTCAAATACGAACGCCCATCGACCATCAAAGGAATCAAGTAAGTCGTTTGAAATTTAGCGAGATGAATTTTGATTTGATTTCTATTCTACGTGGGTATTTATTTAATTGAGAATATCGTATTTAGCATGTAGACACGGGCATCATGAAGACTGTTTAACAAAACAACTGGTCGCTAAAAAAAATGCAACTACATTTGTAATGACATTCTTGTGTCAAATTTGGGGCCAAGCCCAATAGCCATGATTGAAATACTCAACTAACCATGATGGAAGGAATCATCTAACCATGATTGAAAGACTCATCTAACCATGATTGAAAGACTCATCTAACCATGATTTAAAGACTCATCTAACCATTATTGAAAGACTCATCTAACACTGATTGAAAGACTCATCTAACAATGATTGAAAGACTCATCGAACAATGGTTGAAAGACTCATCTAACCATGACGGAAGGACTCATCTAACCATGATTGAAAGACTCATCTAACCATGATTGAAAGACTCATCTAACCCTGATGGAAGGACTCATCTAACCATTTTTGAAAGACTCATCTAACCATGATTGAAAGACTCATCGAACCATGATTGAAAGACTCATCTAACCATGATGGAAGGACTCATCTAACCATGATTGAAAGACTCATTGAACCATGATTGAAAGACTCATCTAACCATGATTGAAAGACTCATCGAACCATGATTGAAAGACTCATCGAACCATGATTGAAAGACTCAAGATCCATCTTTACACGTAGAAGTGTTAAATATAATCTAAGCCTTCAACTTCATTTATATATATAGCTTAGGCCACTATACGGGACCACCCACGATACAGCCACCCACGCCACAGCCACCCACGCCACGGCCACCCACGCCACGGCCACCCACGCCACGGCCACCCACGCCACGGCCACCCACGCCACGGCCACCCACGCCACGGCCACCCACGCCACGGCCACCCACGCCACGGCCACCCACGCCACAGCCACCCACGCCACAGCCACCCACGCCACGGACTATGTTTGAACTAATAGTTATAAAGATAAATCTCATATCAGGAAAACAATTCACACTCGCCTTTTTCACAATATTTTTCTTGATAATGAAGCGTATGTGTGCCAAGTGTGGTCAAGATTAATCAATCCACGTATGAGAAACTAGCAGAAAAAAACACCACCAATTTTCTTTTCATATATATATATATATGTACCAGCTGACATACCCGACGTTTCCCGGGCAAACATTCTGCACAATTCTCTAAAGCGACATCATCTAAAATTAATAATATCCATGTAAAACAAAAACCTCATGACTAAAAATGCGAACACAAATATTAATTTACTATAAAATGTAATATTTATCATAAATTTTGTAAACATTTTTGGGCTCGGTACATTTCATTTAATATCCATGCTTTGCCTTGTCAAAAAATGATTCTAAGACTAATCTAGCTTTAAAGAATTGTTACATTAAAAAAAAAAATCACTAAAGATATATTCGTTTATCACTTACAAATGAAATAGGATCCCAGCGGGATACCGCGGCCTGGTGGGATACCAATTCCCAGTGTATCCTGTTCCCCCGATGTGATACCATTCGCCCTTTGGACCCCATTCCTTGTTGGCATTCACTTTCTTCGGTGCGATCCCGTTTCCTGTTGGGCTTCCATTCCATTGTGGGATCGCATTCCTCTTTGGATAACTATTCAGTATTTCATTCTGAGCAATAAAGGATAAGTTTGGTTAAATCCCTTCATCCATGTAGGAACTTATTCTGAAGAAACAGTCAACTACACACACTGTAGTATCTACAAAACACTTGGACCAGACTTCGTAGTCTTATTGTTTCCATTGGATGGGCATCAATGTCTCCACGCCGCTAACGGGTGCCAGATAAAAGATATTTATATAGATAATTTATAAATAATTTTGACAACGATTTTTGCCATAATTCATCTTACAACTGTACCATTGAATTATTTGACTGTTGATCCTCTCACACAACTGTACCATTGAATTATTTGACTGTTGATCCTCTCACACAACTGTACCATTGAATTATTTGACTGTTGATCCTCTCACACAACTGTACCATTGAATTATTTGACTGTTGATCCTCTCACACAACTGGAACCATTGAATTATTTGACTGTTGATCCTCCTCTCACAGGACATATCCCCGCCCATGGGAGTATCCGGAAGTGTTGGCATCCCTCCCACCACAGTGGGATTGGAGAAATGTTAGCGGTGTTAACTATGTCAGTACTACAAGAAATCAACACATACCCCAGTGTAAGTAGACGCACCAAAGTGTAAGTAGACGCACCAAAGTGTAAGTAGACGCACCAAAGTGTAAGTAGACGCACCATAGTGTAAGTAGAAGTTTTGTCAAGTAAGTTTAATAAATGGGAAGTTCACGAAAGCCGGCCGCCATTGCTTGTATCTAATGGTTGAATAAATCTGAGGTGTAAAATGACATTGGAATTGATTAGAATAGAACTAGAGTTCTATAGTTCTGGAATAGAGCTATAGTTCTGGGACGTCGATGGGAAACAAATTTAGGTAAACCAATGTCTACTAGACATACCCCAGACATACCGAGATATACACCAGACATACCCCGACAAACTCCATACATACCCCAGACATACCCCGACAAACTCCATACATACCCCAGACATACTCCAGACATACCCCAGACATACCCCAGACATACCCCAGACATACCCCAGCATTGTATTGTATTGAATACTTATTATAGCGCTTGTATCCATGCTATTTTAGCATGCTCACAGCGCTCTGATGTTCTTAAATCTGTTTTTTAAATTTTTAAATTGTTTCTTAAAGGAATTTTTATTCATTTTCAATTCCCCTCAAAGATAGAGGCAAACTGTTCCTTAATTTTGGCGCTATCGCTTCTAACGAGCGCACTCCGTAAGACTTTTTCCTGTGTCCATCCACACTGGAAAACCCAGAGTAAGGACTGTGTTGAAGACCCGAGGTTCTTTAAGGATACATGTTTATCAATCAGTTCTTTAAGATATTCCGGTGCAGAGCCTTCTATACAGAATGTTGTGGTCAGTGCGCTCACTGACAGGAAGCCAATGGAGATCTGTAAGGACCGGGTTGATGTGGTCAGATTTCTTTCTCCGCCATGCCAGGCGTGCTGCAGTAGTTTGACATATCCAACGTTAAGTTAGCGTACCCCTACTTTAGGTCGACATAAACCAGGTCAATGATACTGTCTCGAGTGTACATGCAACATACAACAATGGGGTCAGTTGGCTTTGTTGGTCTAAGTCTAGTTAACCAGTATAAATGACAAAACAACAAAATTACTATTCTCAAGTATTCTCTATCTTACATAATCTCTGCATCTAGTCTATATCTTACATAATCACAACCATCAAGTCTCTATCTTACATAATCACAACCATCAAGTCTATATCTTACATAATCACAACCATCTAGTCTCTACCTTACATCATTACAACCATCAAGTCTCTATCGTACATAATCAAAACCAGTCTGTCTTTATCTTACATAATCACAACCATCTAGTCTCTAATCTTACATAATCACGAGCCAACTATGTTTTTATATCTATAATCATAAACTGTCTTTCATCATCAAGAACAATAACCGAGCTTCTATGAACTATTTTATGGCATCAAGAGCCATGAACTATCTAATATTATCAAAAGCTGTCGCCTAGCCATTGTCGTCATGAGGCATAAAATATCTTGTATCATCAAAAACTATCAAGTATCTTGTGTCCTTCAGACTGTGGCTCCTGTTGGTGTATGGCTGCCACTAGCGCCCTGGCTGATAGGCTCAACATCGCCCGTAAAGCTGTTTGGCCCTCAGCTTATTTATCAGCCCAGGTAATTATGGAAAGTATTATTGACACAACCAGAGCGTTGACTGCAAGGAACAAAGAGTGTAGGGGTCCAGGGGCGTAGGGTCAGGGTGTAGGGGTCCAGGGGCGTAGGGTCAGGGTGGAGGGGACCAAGGGGCGTGGTCAGGGTGGAAGGGTCCAGGGTGGATAGGTCCAGGGGGGAGTGGTCAGGGCGGTAGGGTCCAGGGTGGATGGGTCCAGGGCGAGTGGTCAGGGTGGAAGGGTCCAGGGTGAATGGGTTCATGGGGAGTGTGGGTCAGGGTGGAGGGGGCAAAGGGGAGTGGTCGGGGTGGAAGGGTCCAGGGTGGATAGGTCCAGGGGGGAGTGGTCAGGGCGGTAGGGTCCAGGGTGGATGGGTCCAGGGCGAGTGGTCAGGGTGGAAGGGTCCAGGGTGAATGGGTTCATGGGGAGTGGTCAGGGTGGAAGGGTCAGGGTGGAGGGGTCAGGGTGGAAGGGTCCATGGTGGATGGGTCCAAGGAGGAGTGGTCAAGGTGGAGGGGTCCAGGGGGGAGTGGTCAGGGTGGAAGGTTCTAGAGTGGATGGGTCCAGGATGGATGGTTCAGGGTGGATGGGTGTAGGTGGGAGTGGTCAGGGTGGAAGAGTCCAGGGTGGATGGGTCCAGGGGGGGGGGAGGGGATGGTCAATTAGGGTTTTCGTCTTATTGCCAAGACATGGATTCTTACTAAAATATGATTTGCCTCATCTAGCACGTGATAGACTGTGGAAATGCCGGAAGTTGTGAAGGTGGCTCTGATGATGCAGTTTGGGAATACGCCCACACACATGGCATCCCTGATGAAACATGCAACAACTACCAGGCTAAAGATCAAGGTCAGTGTATGCTTTAGATCAAGGTCAATGTTTGGTAAAGATCAAGGTCAGTGTAAGCTCAAGATCAATGTCAGTGCATGCTAAAGGTCAACGTCAGTGCATGCTAAAGGTCAAGGTCACTGCATGCTTTTATCCCAAATACTTGTCTAAAGGAGCTTAGGTAATCTATAAATGCCTTCCATTCATCTCAGATCTGTGCTTGCCATGTAGTTGCCTTCAGCTCTATCCGATCTGTGTGTCTGCCTCTTGCTTTGTGTGTCTGGCTCTTGCTTTGTGTGTCTGGCTCTTGCTTTGTGTGTCTGGCTCTTGATTTGTGTGTCTGGCTCTTACTTTGTGCGTCTGGCTCTTGCTTTGTGCGTCTGGCTCTTGATTTGCGTGTCTGGCTCTTACTTTGTGTGTCTGGCTCTTGCTTTGTGTGTCTGGCTCTTGATTTGTGTGTCTGGCGCTTGTTTTGTGTGTCTGGCTCATGCTTTTGTGTCTGCCTGCTGCTTTGTGTGTCTGGCTCTTGCTTTGTGTGTCTACCTGTTGCTTTGTGTGTCTTCCTCATGCTTTTGCCCGTTTTCTTTAGTTTTCTTCCCTACCCCGCCCTTTTCAGTGTATTCCATTATGAGTGTATGAGTGTATGAGTGTATGGTCATGTTTCCTGTGAGCTACCTCCATCTCTTCTTGTCATGTGTTCTGCAGATCTCAATATTCTGCATGATTCTCCATCTTATTCTCCAAGCTCGGCCATATATTTATATATGTACATATAGTAGGACTGATTTGAGATTTGTCTTGAAAAATTCTTACTTTTGTTGGCAGATTCAGTTCCTTTAATTCCTGGTGCATTCTGACCTAGCCTTTTCAAGACTAGCCTTAACTTTAGCCTGAACTCCACCACTTCTACCTTCATGTACCACTCTGCATGTCATCTGAGAGTCTACCTTCATGTACTAATCTGCATGTCATCTGTGAGTCTACCTTCATGTACTACTCTGCATGTTATCTGTGAGTTTCCCTTCATGTACTACTCTGCATGTCATCTGTGAGTCTACCTTCATGTACTACTCTGCATGTCACCTGCAAGTTTCCCTTCATGTACTACTCTGCATGTCACCTGTGAGTCTACCTTCATTTACTACTCTGCATGTCATCTGTGAGTCTACCTTCATGTACTACTCTGCATGACACCTGTGAGTCTACCTTCATGTACTACTCTGCATGTCACCTGTGAGTTTCCCTCCAGGTACTACTCTTCATTTCATCTGTGAGTCTACCTTCATGTACTAAATAATCATTTTAATTTTTAAATTAATTGTTCAACCGTCCATTTAAAGATTGTACAGACTTCAATCAATGTGGAACTTGTACAACATTTGGTCAGTGTCAGAAACTAAGTACTTACAGGTGGGTGTAACAGCTACAGTAAATACAGGTGTGTACGATAGACTCAGTAATTACAGATGTCTACGATAGACTCAGTAATTACAGGAGTGTACAATAGACTCAGTAAATACAGATGTGTACAATAGACTGTAAATACAGGTGTTTACGATAGACTCTGTAAATGCAGGTGTGTACGATAGACTCAGTAAATACAGGTGTGTACGATAGACTCAGTAAATACAGGTGTGTACGATAGACTTTGTAAATACAGGTGTGTACGGTAGACTCAGTATATGTCATATGTCATGCAGTTTGACTGAAGTCAAGATTGACTTTTTGTAAATGAGTTTTGTCCTCAACAGATTAACAAAAGTTGGAGATTATGGCAGTGTGAAGGGGAGGGCTAACATCATGGCGGAGGTTTATAAGAATGGTCCAGTCAGGTAAGACATGGTCAAGTATATAAGAATGGTCCAGTCAGGTAAGACATGGTCAAGTATATAAGAATGGTCCAGTCAGGTAAGACATGGTCAAGTATATAAGAATGGTCCAGTCAGGTAAGACAGGGTTAAGTATATAAGAATGGTCCAGTCAGGTAAGACATGGTCAAGTATATAAGAATGGTCCAGTCAGGTAAGACAGGGTTAAGTATATAAGAATGGTCCAGTCAGGTAAGACATGGTCAAGTATATAAGAATGGTCCAGTCAGGTAAGACATGTTTAGGTACATAAGACTGGGCCAATAATTTTCTCTGACAAGCTGAGATTATACACCGTATATTTAAAAAAAATCAAATCAGTTGAGTTTCTATGGGTGAACAAATGGGACCCAGTTTTGGTTTCACATTGAGCACTCGAGTGCCCCGGGAAGGCATGTCAACAATTCATTTTGTTTCTCACAAAAATGTCGGGCTGACATGATATTTTATGAGGCCACAGTAACCAATGGCCGGAGCAAAGAAAGGACTTTTGGCCGGGGAGGGGGGGGGCAATTTTGGGGGGCTGCGTTTTCGGTCCACTTTTAATACTATAAATATCTATTTGAATCTTTATAAGCTCTCTTCACATGGTAAATATTTGAATGGGGTTGGCGTTGTGTTTCTCCTATTGCTTGATATCATTAAACAATCATTTCGGAAACCATTTTGTAATTTCAAAACCGTTTATCCGATTAAAACCCGATTTTCAAGACAGAGTTTTTAAAAACTTCCTTAATTTCATTACAATCTTAGCCAGGTCTAGCACTGCTCATAGTCAGGGCAAGCACTGCTCATAGTCATTGCTGGCACTGCTCAAAGTCCAATCATGACACAAACATAATTTTGACTTCAATCTCAAACACCTTGGCACTGTCAGTAAAAACCTTGGCACTGTCAGTAAATACATTGGCACTGTCAGTAAAAACCTTGGCACTGTCAGTATATACATTGGCACTGTCAGTAAATACATTGGCACTGTCAGTAAATACCTTGGCACTGTCAGTAAAAATCTTGGTAATGTCAGAAAAAATCTTGGCACTGTCAGTAAAAACCTTGGCACTGTCAGTAAAAACCTTGGCACTGTCAATGAAAACATTGCAACTGTCAAGCAACAGCTTGGCACCGCCACTATGAAAAAAAGCCTAACATTTATTCCACTAAACATTAGGTCTATTAATCTTAGTACCTTACTGTCACTATACAATGTGTGGTACACTATATTAACTATGTACAATGACATGTTGTCTATTAATCTTGGTACCTTACTGTCACTATACAATGTGTAGTACACTATATTAACTATGTACAATGACATGTTGTCTATTAATCTTGGTACCTTACTGTCACTATACAATGTGTGGTACACTATATTAACTATGTACAATGACATGTTGTCTATTATATTAATCGTGGTACCTTACTGTCACTATACAATGTGTGGTACACTATATTAACTATGTACAATGACATGTTGTCAACAGCTGTGGTATTGAAGCTACAGATGGACTTGAGAAGTACACGGGAGGAATCTACCAGGAGCACAAAGTTTTACCCATGGTAATTGAGAGTTGCTGTTTTTGGCATGTTGTAGATATAAGAATATACATTCTAACGACCTTAACCCTAGGGGGTGGTCCATAAAGTATACATTCTAACGACCTTAATCCTAGGGGGTGGTCCATAAAGTATACATTCTAACGACCTTGACCCTAGGGGGTGGTCCATAAAGTATACATTCTAACGACCTTCCCCCAGGGGGTGGTCCATAAAGTATACATTCTAACGACCTTGATCCTTGGGGGTGGTCCATAAAGTATATAACACTATTTTTGACAATAATACCTCACCTAATCACAACCTGCCACAAATCTCGGACCGACCCCCCCCCCCCCCCCCCCCCCCCCCCCCCCCCCTGTAAATTGGAAGGACACGCCCCTTTCGAACTGAAAATTAAAACTCATTATAATGTGGATCAATTAAATAAATAGACACCAATATTTGTATTAACTATATTTTAAAATATTAATGAAGTTGTTTTCTAATACTTCAAAAAAAAAAAAAAACCACACATGATTATGATGTGATGTAGATGAAAATAGAGTTTAAGTATGGTCAGGAAAAACACGTACATCTCTACTAGCCTAACATCTATTGTTGCACTCCGATTGAGCGTAGAATGACAAAGATGTTCGTTTATTTTACTTTTGTATACATTGTGGTATTATCTAGAGATAGATTCCGGGGGTGAAACTGACGCCACTAGCCTTCCTCCCATGGGTGCAAAACCCGGACAAAAAATTAACTTATGTTGGGCGAAGATTTGTGGGGGGGGGGGGGGGAAGGTAAAGGTTTCCCNCCCTGTTCTCAAGTATGCATAATTGGGGCGCTGATAGATACAATCTCCAGCCAAAATTCTGAAATCCTCCCCCGCCCCCCCCCCCTCACACACACACACTCAACGTCCGGAAGTATTTTTTTTTTCTTTTCTGAAAGAAATAATGACCACAAATCATGTGTTACATAAGAATGTAGTTTAGAAATGTAGTGTAGAAATGTAGTATGGAAATGTAATAAGTAACTGACTTGATGCTGGTACTAACAGGTAATGAACTAAAAAGTAATGAGCTAAAAGCTAGTAAACTAAAAGGTAGTGAAATTAAAAGGTAGTGAACTAAAAGCTGGTGAAGTAAAGGCTAGTGAACTAAAAGTTAGTGAACTAAAAGTTAGTAAACTGAAATGTAGTGAACTAAAAGCTAGTGAACTAAAAGCTAGTGAACTAAAAGCTAGTGAACTAAAAGCTAGTGAACTAAAAGCTAGTGAACTAAAAGCTAGTGAACTAAAAGCTATTGAACTCAAAGTTAGTAGACTGAAATGTAGTGAACTAAAAGCTAGTAAACTGAAATGTAGTGAACTAAAAGCTAGTGAACTAAAAGCTAGTGAAGTCAAAGTTAGTAAACTGAAATGTAGTGAACTAAAAAGTAGTGAACTAAAAGCTAGTGAACTAAAAGTTAGTGAACTGAAAGGTAGTGAACTAAAAGCTAGTGAACTAAAAGTTAGTGAACTAAAAGGTAGTGAAGTAAAAGCTAGTGAACTAAAAATTAGTAAACTGAAATGTAGTGAACTAAAAGGTAGTGAACTAAAAGCTAGTGAACTAAAAGTTAGTGAACTGAAAGGTAGTGAACTAAAAGCTAGTGAACTAAAAATTAGTAAACTGAAATGTAGTGAACTAAAAGCTCTTGAACTAAAAATTAGTGAACTGAAATGTAGTGAACTAAAAGCTAGTGAACTAAAAGCTAGTGAACTGAAAGTTAGTGAACTGAAAGGTAGTGAGTCATAATTAAAACAAGTGTTCAACCTCAATTCCTTTTTTTGTGTTAAATCAGGAGAACCACGTGGTCAGTATCGCTGGATGGGGAGTTGCCAATGGAATCGAATACTGGATAGTGCGCAATTCTTGGGGAGAGCCCTGGGTGAGTAGTTACAATTTTATTCTCCTGGTGTGTAATGCTACAGGAATTTAAAATTGGTGTGTATTGCTAAAATTGTATTGTATTTGTGTGTGGTGCTACAATAAAATTGTATTGGTATGTGGTCATGGGCGCCCGCAAGGGGGGGGGGGCACTGGCCCCCCCTCCCCACCTGGATTGATTGGATAAAAAAAATTTAGACAAAAATAGACAAAAAATTTATTAAAATAAAGAGAAAATAAAGAGAAAGTAACTAAGCTGATGTCCTGTCCGTTCGTTCACCATACAAATACGCTACAGTAAATTAAAACTATATTAAAACATTACTAAAAAAAATTTGCCCCCCCCCCCTGGAAAGTTAATCGATTTTTTTTGCTCCCCCCTTGAAAGTTTTCTGCGGGCGCCCATGTACGTGGTGCTACAATAATATTGTATTGGTATGTGGTGCTACAATAATATTTTATTGGTATGTGGTGCTACAATAATATTGTATTAGTATGTGGTGCTACAATAATATTGTATTGGTATGTGGTGCTACAATAATATTGTATTGGTATGTGGTGCTACAATAATATTGTATTGGTATGTGGTGCTACAATAATATTGTATTGGTATGTGGTGCTACAATAATATTGTATTGGTATGTGGTGCTACAATAATATTGTATTGGTATGTGGTGCTACAATAATATTGTATTGGTATGTGGTGCTACAATAATATTGTATTGGTATGTGGTGCTACAATAATATTGTATTGGTATGTGGTGCTACCATAATATTGTATTGGTATGTGGTGCTACAATAATATTGTATTGGTATGTGGTGCTACAATAATATTGTATTGGTATGTGGTGCTACAATAATATTGTATTGGTATGTGGTGCTACAATAATATTATATTTGTATGTGGTGCTACAATAATATTGTATTGTTATGTGATGCTAAAAGAATATTATGCAGGTTTTGAGGCTAAAATGGGCGATAAATATTAAGGAATTCAAATTATTTATTACAGATGTAAATCTATTAGGAATGGCAATAAATGAGATTGTATTTGACGGAGTGTTGAATTGATCATTGATCCCCCCGCATACACTTAACCTACAATGGTAGAACGATGGAATTTTACTCACAGTAATCTCATAATTACACCAGTGGTTCTTAACCTTCCTAATGCCGCGACCCTTTAACATGAGATCGTTATAAGAAATAGTGTACAACTAGTCAACGAATTGTGGACTAAAGAACTGGAAAACATATTACAATATCAGGTGTGAAAAGTTTAGCATACATTTTTGGACTTTAAAAATAAATCAAATTTTTTTTTTAAATTATCAAAGTTGTCTTTTTTTAATCTTTTAAAATTTTTATTTATGCACCCCCCCCCTTCCCATGTCGGGTGAAGTCCAAAACCTTAGCATGTGTGGTGAATGCAGCGCTGCTTATAGCTTAAGAAAACCATTTTATTTGCTCTGGCTGTAACGCGTTGTTGGATTAAGGCCTTTGGGTCATGGGCACAACCGAATTTGAGATCATAGTTATCTGTGCGTCTACAGTAGGTTAAGATGGGTCCATAGGTAAGCACGGGACGGAGACCCTTGAGTCTTGGGCCCAAAGATTAAACGTAGCCAACAATGACAATCAAAAGAGAGAATCAAAACAGCACACTGTCCAAAGAAAGCGAAAGGCAAGGGAAATCAAAATGGCCGCCAATCCTTACAGGACTGGTGTACTCACCGTCGACTATAGCCTTGGTCATCTTATGGACACAACAGGACTGGTGTACTCACCGTCGAATATAGCCTTGGTCATCTTATGGACACAACAGGACTGGTGTACTCACCGTCGACTATAGCCTTGGTCATCTTATGGACACAACAGGACTGGTGTACTCACCGTCGACTATAGCCTTGGTCATCTTAAGGACACAACAGGACTGGTGTACTCACCGTCGACTATAGCCTTGGTCATCTTATGGACACAACATGACTGGTGTACTCACCGTCGACTATAGCCTTGGTCATCTTAAGGACACAACAGGACTGGTGTACTCACCGTCGACTATAGCCTTGGTCATCTTATGGACACAACAGGACTGGTGTACTCACCGTCGACTATAGCCTTAGTCATCTTACGGACACAAAAGGACGGATGTACTCACCTTCGACTATAGCCAACAACAACACACACACACATCATATACACACCATACATATTAACCCTACACTTTACCATTCTTAACAAAACACCCTTAATAACACACTCAAGATAACACTTACCTTCCACATTCAACATACACAAAAACATACACTCAACAGATACAATAACCATACACTTTTAACTGATACAATCACATCCACAATAAACATATTACACACCATACACTCTCAACAGACACACTCAAACTCAACAGACACTTAATATACACACGCAACATACATACTTTACTTACGAAATTAAATGACACACTCAGCAGACACACTCAGCAGACACACTCAGCAGACACACTCAGCAGACACAGTCTCCCTACAAACAGTATACGTAGACCCATATTAGAATTATTGCACACTTGTTCTGTTGTTCTATTGCAGGGTGAGAGCGGGTTTTTCCGTATTGTGACCAGCACTTTCAAGGGAGGCAAGGGAGATGAGTACAACCTTGGCATTGAAAAGAACTGTGCTTACGGTGACGTCATCGTATAATAGTGCTCTACAATAACATATCTGGCAGTTCAGATCAAATAAATGATGTAAAAAAAATGTGTTCTGATTTGATTGAATTAAATACCTAGTGTGCATTGGTTGAACTAAATACCTAGTGTGCATTGGTTGAATTAAATACCTAGTGTGCATTGGTTGAACTAAATACCTAGTGTGCATTGGTTGAATTAAATACCTAGTGTGCATTGGTTGAATTAAATACCTAGTGTGCATTGGTTGAATTAAATACCTAGTGTGCATTGGTTGAACTAAATACCTAGTGTGCATTGGTTGAATTAAATACCTAGTGTGCATTGGTTGAATTAAATACCTAGTGCATTGGTTGAATTAAATACCTAGTGTGCATTGGTTGAATTAAATACACGTGCGTCTTGCTGACCCCGACATTAACAGTGTATTTTCATCTCCACCACTTATTGTCTTCAGACATGACAAAACTCTAGGTAACCTTCTGGTTCACTGTCGCCTTGGAGCTAACTCGTCTTGGGACTAGGCCACGATCAATAACATGCAGTACGACTTGTCCCTATATACTAGAAACCAATAAAAGTTGCCTTCATAAAGGTACATTTACCATGAAAGTTGGTTTCACATGCATTACTCGTAATGTGATATATGACATTGTGTGCCGTAGCTACCGCTCCTGTCATATAGGGGAAACTGAAAGAAGATTATCAGATAGGTTCACTAGACATCTTCGTGATATTGTACAGAGTAAACTTTTTCTGGTCTCATCCCATTTCAACTGAGATAAACATAAAGGTAAATCGGGTGTACCCATCACAGCACTGACCCTTTGTACCAACACACCAGCGAAAGTTAGAAGGGAAAACTCATTAATCCAGCTTTTCGGCACAATGTCACCATCTTTGCCGAGGAAGGCTCTTGGCAGAAATGTTCTTCTTTCATTGCCCTGTCTTTCTTCAAGCTTCCACATACCTTGTTCTTCTATTCTCTTCACAAAGCTGGACTGCGACTAGAACGGGGTGTCAAATGCTATTAAAACAAGGTGCCACAAGGGCGTTTGGGGAGTTTTAAAATAAGATCAAAAACTTAGAGTTTGTGACGCCCGGAGCGTATCATGACTTATCGACATTCACTCCAGAAAGACCCATACAATATAATCCTCTGCAGTGGCGTCACTAGGGGTGCAGACAGTAAAGAAGCCATGCCACCACAGGGGGTGACACTCACATGCAAAAATTAATATTGAGATTTTTTCATAACTGACCATAATTCAATAGCTGTTTAGTGGTTGTTCAATATTTGTTAAATAGTTCAATAGGTGTTCAATAGTTTAATAGCGGTTCAATAGTTCAATAGTCGTTCAATAGTTCAATAATTGTTTATGTTTCTTCAATAGTCGTACACTATTGTCACTGAGCCAATCTATTCAACAGGAAGTCACTGAGCCAATCTGTTCAACAGGAAGTCCCTGAGCCAATCTGTTCAACAGGAAGTCACTGAGCCAATCTGTTCAACAGAAAGTCACTGGGTCGTAATCGTGTAATCGTCCAATCTCCACATCAGACACTATCACCATTGTGTAATATATGCACTCTTCTGAATATCAGTATATAACTTCCACAGTTACTCGCCCTTAGCCCATTATTTACTTTCCCTATAAGTTCATCAATTAATTGCCCCATGACCACCATTTAATTACCTCAATGTCTACTATTTCATTAACACAATATCCACCCTTTTAATATCCCAATGTCCACTATTTAATAACCCTTTTAAATCCTCTTCTAAACCACCACCCACCCACCCCCACTCATGTCCCTCCATTACTTACGTGCTTTCCTATTAAGGTAAGCTATTTTAATTCCTCAAATTTCAGGAATTCCTCAAATTCCAGGATTTACTTGCCCAACATCAAAAATTTAATTTACCCCAATGATCACTAATTACTTTCCTCTTAATTATCTATATTTATGAGGCCCCCAGATTCCACTTTTTTCATTCCCTGCATGTTCAGTATTGAATTGTCCCCCATATCCACTACTCACCACCCTAATTCAATTTCACCCCTTTCTACCCATGTCAACTAGTAATTTCCCTTTCCACTCTTTAGTTTGGGGTACGTCCAAAGTTTTGTAAAACAAGGAGTAGCTTGCCCGTGGATGACGCCCACCATTTAAAATTCTGATTCCAAAATCATATTTGTTGTTTCTCGATTCCAGAAAGTTGAAAAGGGATAATTACAAGAAAACTAATCATAATAATTTATATTAAAAATAGTTCACTTTCAATATGAATAATTTCAATCCTTAAAACACAAGGTATCTTCTTCCCATCCATGTTTACATAGGCTGGATTGTGGCAGCCACGCCAATGATACGAAAGGGAAAATAAACAGATTTTTTTCTTATTTTGTCATACCGTCATCTATACACTCCATATAAACCCCACTAATGCCATGACACAAATAGACAAAATTGACTACCTCCCTTTAAATATTTCTCATGTTTATAAAAGCTCATGTCTTATTTTTTGGGACAAACAAACTATGTCATTTATAATTTACATTTATTTTTAGTTATTTCTATTCCCAATTTCTAAAAATCAAACGAACTTTTTTTTTATCCAATTCTAAATTTTCATTTAATAAACAAACGTTTTGTCTCTCTCTCTTTCATGATTCTCTAAAAGATTTGTTTTAAACTATTTAAGCACACATTCAAATCAAAGGAGCCAATGTAGATGCGTTATGCTAAAATTCTTAAAAACGATTAAAGTAAAGTGATTTGGTTTTATTTTATGATAAATATACCAAATTGTATACAAGTATAGGTACTCTTTAATTTTTAAGTATTATTATTCTTTGTAGTTCAGGGGTGGAATTTTGTGGCCTAAAACCTATAATATATTAAGGATATATTAAGGATAAACATTTCGCAAAAACCAAAGATGTTAGATATGTTAACATTAAGACCAAGAACATCAAGATGTTAAAAATGCTAACATAAAATGAACATTCTATAAAAATGATAATACAAAGAACATTCTATATTATTAAAAAGGAAACATTTGATTTACTATTTACTTAATATACATTCTAGGGCAGTGGTTCTTAACCAAGGATTCAGTGAGCCAGTCTCAGGGGTTCGGCAAAGGTCCAAAAAATATCAGGAAAAAACAATTATTATTTTTCCTATTAAGAAGGGTTTGTTGAATGCGCATATGAAACTTGTGGGGTTTGGTACCTCAAAAAGGTTAAGAACCACTGTTCTAGAGTGTGGAAATTTTAAAAATATTTTTATGATCTTTTTGAGGATACTATACCTCAAAACCAAATACAAATGTAAACATCAGTAGATTTTGAGACCTCACAGTGGCAGGCAGCAAGTAACACATTTTTGCCTTCAATCTTTACCCAAGACATATCTTCTTGTAAAAATATCACCCATTAAATATATATCAATATTTAAACCACGAAATTTATTTTAAAATTAATATAATATTTATTTTTTTATCATGACCAGGCTATTTAATTCAATTTTTTATTTATAATTTTAGGAAATATATATATAAATAAAAAGAGAAGATCAAATATGATTAACTCGTGTGACGTTGGACTACCAGAATTTATTTGGTTTTTTTAATGTATATAAAATTTATCTAGATGCTTATGTATACAATTAATGTATAAAAATTAAATAAAGTGCACAATTATTTAGTTTATTAACTCTTTCGCTGTAGAATTTTTTTAATCGAAAAAATTTACATCTTTTTTCAAAGAGCAGAAAAAGAGTGAGAGATTGGGTTAATTAAAAAAATATTTAAAATATTATTCTTTGGTATCAAATGAAAGGTAATTGAAAGGACTATATGTTTGTACACTTATTTATTCACTTTAAATAAAATAAGTTACAGAAAAGAACAACAAAATATGAAAACATTTTATGTTAAACCATTTTTCCCCAAACCCTATGATTTGTACGCATACCTCATCTTCACTTCTATAACTCATTTCCTCTAAAACTACTACTATTGGAATCATTTTATGCATCTAAATATAAATCATCTTCACTATTAAAAGAAATATTATAAAACAATTCCAAAACTTTTTAAACTGTAAATAGTAAGGAAACTTACCTACTACGGCCTAGGGTAGCCATAGCAACAGAAGAAAAGAAAATCGTCAAAATAATGCTTCAAATGACAACAAATAAACCTTGGTTTTGCTTGTAAACAATGAAGTGCCACTCTAAGTAAAAGTCTTATTTAAAAATAGCTCTTAAAAAGTTTAACCGAGAAATATCAAAGAAATAAACATGATATTGAAACAACGCACAGCACATTGTCCGTGCTTTTGAGAACGGCAGAAGAACGCAGTGTGTGTTGTTCCACATCAAAAGAGTTAATACATATGGTAAAATATCTTGTTTATTCTTAAAAGTGCAGTAAAATATCTCATTCTTAACACAAAATATAAAACATGCACTTAAAATATACACATATAAATTATGATGCATTTTACTCATCATACACATAAAGCTAATTGTATGTTCCTCTGTCATACAGAGACAGAAAATTATGTGATTCCTTTGTCATACACATATTAATTAATGATGCATTTCTTCTGTCAAACAATGATGATTTATGATGCATTTCCCCTGAAATACACATGTATTAAAGATCAATTTACACTGTCATACACACAGATTTCTTACTCTTGTCACACATCCAGTGAATGATTTAAATTTAATGTAAACAAAATCATACCAAAAGTTATCACACAGCTTTGAAATATATACAGGATAAAGGAATTGGTACAATCTTTGAAATCTATACAGAATGTAGGAATTGAGACAATCTTTGAAATCTATACAGAATGTAGGAATTGAGACAATCTTTGAAATCTATACAGTAATACAGGATAGAGGAATTATTTGTAAAGATAAAGGGTACAAAATCATCCAAAATAATTTAACATCAAATATGGATAGCTTAAGGTTAAATGTATCAAAAATGTCTAGCTGGCATCCTTGTGGTAGAAGGTTTGATTTATGGAGAAATTTACAGCTCTTGTGAAATATTCAAATGTGGAATATTTGTGTCATTCCACTTTAGTTGGATAAAAACTTATCTCAGACAGGAAAACAAATAGAAAAAATGTTCTTCATTTTATTCAATAACATATTTTTTTTTAAAAAAGAAGAATTTCTAATTTGATATTTATAGAGTTCCTTTTAACTGTTTCAGTTTCAACCCTAAAAATCAACTTATTAAAAAGTTCCATCAGATAAACATAATATAATTACTGGAGCAAATGTGTGTGGGGGTGGGGTGGTCAGAAATTTTGTCTACTGTAATATTAATACAACATAAAGAGATAAAATACTAAAATAAAACTGATGAAATGAGTCATCTTATGGAATGTCCACTGTTGTCCAGAGTTGAATGATGCTGCAGTGACCATGAACTTAATATCATTTGTCAGGATGCTCCTTTGATTGAGGGCTTGAATGGGTCTGAAGTCATCAACAAGGGGATCGTGATTCTCATTGTACAGACTTCGGAACACATTGATCTGAGGATATAAGTCTGAATCTTAACTTTGTCTTCTATAGAAATGTAACAATATTTTCAAAAATTAATGAAAGTAAAACATATTGAAGTTTTGTCTATATTCAATTCAAATTCTTTGGTTTCATACAATGCTCATCCACTACTCTGCACAGTCTTTCTTTGCATTTTAAGAAAGTTTATCAAGTAGGCCTATTCTCTACTGTTTAGTGTCTTTAAATTCATCTGTGATAGAAGAAGTCTTTTTTTTATAATCATAATGTTTTTGTTTTTTTTTATTTCTTCCCCTTTATTATATATATATATATATTATTTTTTAAATATATATTAGGCAAACAAAAATTGTACCTGTCTTTCTGAGATAGTAATATATTGTGTGGCCAAGGACCAAATCACTGTTTCATAACACTCAGGAGTGGTTAAGCTTCCAGAGTAGCGATAAAAATATAGTTTCTCATCTGATGGAAGTAGATCACGAACTTTGAAAGTTTCAATTTCTGTCTCATTGTCTGAAACACAAAACACTGAATTTTTAAAAAAAATCTTAAATGAAGGGAAGGCTAAAGGTGTGTAAGAAAATCAACATTAGAAAATCAAGATTAGAAAATCAACATTAGAAAATCAACATTAGAAAATCAACATTAGAAAATCAACATTAGAAAATCAACATTAAATTTGAAGAAGGCTGAGATCAAAAAGAGAAATGTTTGGAACAAATTAAAATTATTTCCTTAAATTCTTAACACAAACATGATTTCTAATAAATGATTTATGATTAGCACTTTTATTCATTTTTTAAAATTTATTGTATTGCTCAAATAAATTTATTTAGAAATATTTAGGTTTTATTTATTTTTTAAATGTACATCTTTAAACAGGTAAAGATAAATTAAAATACTAGGTCAAATATCAAATATAAAGATATCTACATTCACTGAGTCAGTCAGTTTACCAGGCAGTCACTGAGTCAATTTAAATATATTTAAAATCATTAAACAATATTAGACTAATTTGTCTACTCTAAAAATTTTATAAAAATTCTAGAGGAACTAAAGTACTTGTTAATATAAATGTATGTGAAATATGCATTGAATAAACAATTTCATTTATCTTCTTGTTCATTGACTTGTCAGTTACACCAGGTTCATTGACATCAATTACAGTAAGTTAATTGACTTGTCAGTTACAATAGGTTCATTGACTTCTCAGTTACAATAGGTTCTTTGACTGCCAGTTACAGTAGGTTCATTGACTTGTCAGTTACATTAGGTTCATTACCTTGTCAGTTACAGTAGGTTCATTGACTTGTCAGTTACAGTAGGTTCATTGACTTGTCAGTTACAGTAGGTTCATTGAATTGTCAATTACAGTAGGTTCTTTGGCTTGTCAGTTACAGTAGGTTCATTGACTGTCAGTTGCAAAAGGTTCTTTGGCTTGTCAGTTACAGTAAGTTCAGTGCAACATATTGTTCTAATAATCTTTCCCAATAAATGCTTCCATCAGCAAATTTTGTAGCAAGCACATTTTATGTTATATAGTTAAGATCAGATCATAGATTCTTTTATCAGCTCACATTTTCTAGTGAAGGTTTGAATTAAGCTCTTAAAGCCCCGACTAGTTCATGGGCAGTTCTATATAACATTGTCCGTGACATAGGACTGTCCCATCACCCTGGCCACCCATGCCATATCTGGTGCTGGGCATTCAGTAAATAGATGGGTCAGAGTATCTAGGACCAGGCGCAATGCAAGGAAGAATCTTTAACTAAACAATTCTATAGTTTAGATCAGGTCATATAATCTTTAATTAAAAGTTCTATAGTTTAGATCAGGTACAACCTGTAACTAAAGGTTTCTTATTTTTATTTTTAATCATTTGTTTAATTAATAATCAGTTGAATACAAATTAATATTGAGTAGTAGATTAAGCTTGTACACCCTTAGTTGGTACATCTCTAGTTTGTACATCCCTAGTTGGTACAACCCTAGTTGGTACACCCCTAGTTGGTACACCCCTATTGGTGCACCCCTATTTTGTACATCCCTAGTTGGTACACCCCTATTTTGTACATCCCTAGTTGCTACATCCCTAGTTGGTACATCCCTAGTTGGTACATCCCTAGTTTGTTCATCCCTAGTTGGTACATCCCTAGTTGGCACAACTCTAGTTGGACCTCCCTAGGTCGTACAGCTTTACCTGGTACAACCCTAGTTGGACTGCCCTAGTTGGTACAGCTTTACCTGGTACAACCCTAGTTGTTACTTCCCTATTAATATTATTGATTTGAATGGAGAGTAGTATCTATAATACCTGTACAGATGAATGTAATAAAAAGATATTTCTTTTATGTTTTAGATATAATTCAGAGATGTTGCATCACAAACAAAAAATAAAAAAATATTGAAATTCTTTAAATAACAATTATTTTAAGAAAAGTTCATAAGAAGCTTGGAGTATTGTTTTTACTGATGAATATGGGGTACAGACTGTATATATAAGAAATAAAAGATCTATGCATGAATATTTACTGATAATAGAAAGGTTCACCTGAAAGGCAACCACTACCACCACATAAAAGGCAACTACTACCACCACATGATAGAAAACTACCACCAATACATAATATGAAATTACTATCACCACAAAGAATCAAAATCTTTCAGAAAATCTTACCTCCTTTATCTGTTGGAAAGATTTTTTTTAATGAAAAAACAACAACAATTTAACCAAATTATAATTAGTAAAGACATGAACACAAAAATAGACAAAGCACTTTTGCAAAAAATACTTACTAAACACTTCCACAAATAAAACAAACGTTACTTACAAATCACTTCCAAAACAAGTGAAATAAACATTACTTACAAATCACTTTCACAAATAAAACATTCATGACTTACAAATCACTTCCACAATTAATCAAACATTACTTACAAATCACTTCCACAATAAATCAAACATTACTTACAAATCCCTTCCATAAAGTATCAAATAAATGGTGTGAAAAATAGTTTTTTTAAAATATTCTTGGGAACAAATTTTTATTAACTGTGTTTTCCATTATTTCATCCCATCTACAACTTTAAGCCAAACTTGCAAACTACCACTGTACTTTACCACTGCACTCTACAACAGCACTCTACCACTGTATTCTACCACTATAATATACCACTACAATATACCACTGTATTCTACCATTGTAATCTATCATTGCATTCTATCACTGTGTTCTACCACTGTACTCCCCTCTGCCACTGTACTCTACTAATGTAATCTACCACTGTATTCCATCAATGTGTTCTATCACAGTACTCCACTCTGCCACTGTACTCTACTACACCACTGTACTCTACCCCACTCTACCATTGTACCTTACCACTGTAATCTACCACAGTACTGAACTATACCACTGTACCCTACTCTACTACTGTACTCTACTCTACCACTGTACTCCACTACTGTATTTTACCACTGCCTCAGAACTGTACCAATGCCACAAAATGTGTACTCTACAAATGCAATAGAACTCATCAATAGAACTCATGAGTCATCTAAGTACAGTAGATATTTTCTATTACATGCAAGATTGTATGCAAACATGTCATTTTTTAATTATAACAAATTAGATTTCTTCAAAATGACATATTACAATTTGTACATTAAAATGAGAGAATAATTGGCAATGAGCCACATTTAATTTCATGGAATACAACATCCATCAAAATCTAAGGTCAATATTTACAGTATAACAGTCAGCTAAATTCTAGTAAGTACCCTGTAGAAAGAATCATTAAACAGCCCCATGACCCCATTCATTGTCTTACCTGCAGTGGAGATCTTAGGAAAATATTGGAGAAGCTTTTCAAAGTTGGGATTATCTTCTGTTGAAATCTGAAAGTTAGACACAATTTCAATTTAAAACACAAACTAAGAGATATAAATTGAAGTGAGACAGAAGTATGCTGACCATTCATCCTGGTTTAACCAGGCTTGTCACTGTTCAGCAAAGCTGTTCCTGCTTCTCACGGCATTTTGAATTGTATCACAGTCGCAAGATGAGTAAACTAGAATTTCTAGTATATTAATCTGTCCTGTCTGAGAACATTGAGGCCCCTGTGAATTTGAGGCCACTGTGAATATGAGGCCCCTGTGTATATGAGGCCACTGTCAATATCTCTAAATGTTAAGAAGTAGAATCTTTCTCTTCCCCATTATCCAACTCATACATTATAAATTTTAGACCTTGCTGGGATAACTCAATTGGTTCTAGTTTCAACCCTTAAAATACTAGTGAGTCTAGACACATTAAAATAAAAGAAATAAGTGACACAACAAATAAGTGACACATTAAAATAAGAGACACAACAAATAAGTGACACATTAAAATAAGAGACACATTAAAATAAGAGACACATTAAAATAAGAGATGCATTAAAATAAGAGTCTCAATTAAAAAGTGAATCAAAAGATTTGATCAACTAAACTGAAAAATTAAACCCTTTTGTATAAATCCATACACATCTTTTACTTACCTTGAAAATAAAGCCTTTATATCCATACACATCTTTTACTTACCTTGAACATAAAGCCTTTATATCCATACACATCTTTTTCTTACCTTGAACATAAAGCCAAATACTGCAATTGCAAATGGATGTTCCTTAAATTTTGCATCATTTTCCAAATGTGCCTGCTGGTGGACAAGGTGCAGCTGCAGAGAAATTATTTATATTAACATTAAATTTTGGTATGGTATAATCATTAAATAAAGGCAGACAACTCACTGGTCGCCCAAGCTGAGATGGACCGATGATGTGGATTTACACCAGTTGGGGGTTCACACATTGAGGCGGAAGGCAATGGATCATTCCAAATGGAAGGATTTGGTGGAGCAGGCCAGGGCCCTACATGGGCTGTAGGGCCACTGATGATGATGATAATAATCATTAAATCAGGGGGTATAATTATTAAGTCAAGGGGTATAATCATTTAGTCAGGGGGGTGTTCATTGCCATTGCTGTAAAACAATAATTGATTTGCTACTGTATTAATAATGATTTATAAAGTTTATATATCAACAATGTGAGCTATCACAATGTACACATGAGTGGATGTATGTATCAACCATGAGAACTATCACAATTTACACATGACTGGATATGTGTAATAACCATGGGAACTACCACAATGGACACATGACTGGATTAACAACCATGGGAACTACCACAATGTACGCATGACTGGATGTAACAACCATGGGAACTACCACAATACACACATGACTGGATGTGTGTAAGAAAGATAAAAATGGAGCCAGCATCAACATCAGCAATGATTAGGATGTTTTAGGCCATGAGAAGGAAACTTCACTCTAAGCTACCTCCATTGGGGAGTGGTAGCCAGTACTTTGTATTACCTCCATTGGTGCGTGGTAGCCATCAATACTGTGCTCTGAACCTCTTTGATCCTGTGCTCCCCAGTGAAAATGGAACTGTACTAGTTTGTAAACATCAGGGAGTCCCCCTTCCCTCAGATAAATTGGTGTCCCTGAGAACTCTACTTCAGCTGAAATAAGGCATTCACCATTTTAGTTCATGAATTGAGGTCATGGAAATATGGATACATAAACTTTTGTTCATGGAAATATGGAGATATCAAAATCTATTCAGGGAAATGTGAATAAAAAATAAGAAATAAATTGATGCAAAGAGAATACACTTTAGGACAGTTTGTACAGTGTGTGCCAATTTTAAAGTATTGAAGCTCCAACATCTTGAATGCATATAAACATTCATCAATGGTGCAACCACTGTGTATTTGTAATAGTGAAAGCATGATATGATAGGCAGATGGGCTTGAAAATAAGTCTCTCAACTTAGGAAACTGCATTTATAGTTAAGCATTTTTTTCACTCATACTCAAATAGTCGTAAATAGGGACCAAGTTAAAAAGATGTGAGAACCAGTCCAAGAGAGCTGACAAAGACAGCATCAAGTAACACAACTTTTTACAAAATTTTGAATTCTGGAACCATATTCTGTCAATGGAATGGGAAGTACATAATGGGACTTACATATGAGAATACATATGCCAATAAAATCTGAATCCCCATACATCATGGGAAAAAAACATTTTGCAAACATCATCTTGGCTCACATTTCTGGCTCACATTTCTGGCTCACATTTCTGGCTCCATTCTGCAAGAGTTGTGGCATGAATTTTAAAGACCCCTTACATTTTACAGTTTTGTACCTACTACATTTAAAGTTGAAAGTTCCTTTTTTCACTTCACATATGTTGGCCCCTTAAATATTCAAGGCCCCATGCAGGGCCCACATAAAGGCTCTGGAGAAAAGCCAAGGACCTTTACTGTCTATCGGTTAATGTTGACATTAGAAATTCTTTAGTTGATAATAAAACAGAGCCATCACATGACTTATCGAGGACACTAGCCACTTTTCGGCTTTGTGCCCGTACATTCAATTTTCAAACTTGATAATTTAAATTTTGTCTACTTCACAACTTGAGTATTTGGGTGATGTTGTCTACCATCTTTTCCAGCTAGCTATTATCTCCTAGATGTATAGTGGCCTGTGTTGTTTATGGTTATAAGGGATGAAAGACTTAGAATGGGTATTCTCGTATGCAGTTTGTGTAATGTTGTGTTTTGTATTTCAATGTGGTAAAATCTAGATTTGTTCATTTCTCATTTAATATGGTTGACTTTGTACCGCTCTTCAAGCCTTGGGGATGAAGCATGATTTTCAAATAAACTTTATTCATCTTATTATTATCCAAGGTCTCCTGCAGCTACAAGTGTTGCACATGCAATGTCTCTATCCAAGGTCTCCTGCAGCTACAAGTGTTGCACATGCAATGTCTCTATCCAAGGTCTCCTGCAGCTACAAGTGTTGCACATGCAATGTCTCTATCCAAGGTCTCCTGCAGCCACAAGGGTTGCATAAGCAATGTCTCTGCATCTAGCATTGTCAAATTTGTAAATGAGGTACCAGTACTAAAATGCACCTAAGTCTCTTAAACAATTGGAAAATGGAGGTATCCCTTTTTTTGTTTCAAGGAATTTCATCAAAGACTTTATTTAGGAGTGAATGCAGCATCTGCTGGAGAAGATACAAATTTTAATGTGATTCTCTATCAAACTATTTACTGGTTGACCAAACCTCCTCTTCTGGTTGACACAGTTAATTTCAAGAATAAAGAACTTTTCATAATATTTAAAAATAACAGTCATGTTTCTTTGCACAGCCTTTTTTTAACTCTTTCAGAATTGTTCTGCCACCTTTTCCAACTCTAGCCACATTCATAAAATTTTAACAGAAATAATAAATATGACAAGTTTTTCCACAGCCCAGTGACATGCTTCCAATTACAACTGCCCGACATTTCTTCTTTTTCCCTACTGGAAACATTTGTGGTTGTTAAAGATATAAAACTGTTGGTAAAAGCATGTATGCATTCAAGATGCAGAAATTCAGTTCTGTTGTTTTTGGCCCATATATTTCATAGGCCTACTGCATTTCAGCAAATTATAAATAGCAGATAAACATTTCAGGTAATATTAATTTCTGTTAGTGATATATTTTAATCTAATGACATATTTCAAATAATAATATTTTTGATACTCTATCAAAAACAGAGAGTGTAACATTATAGGTTCTAATATGTTTGAAGGACTAAAATCTTGATGGATTTATAGATCAAAAGGGGAGATTATAAATTTTTTTACCTGTGTGACCACCCTTATTTGTCAGTGTCATTGTGACATTGTCAGTTTTTGAGTATTCTGTAATGTTGAACACTGGCAGCCAAGGGTCATACAAGACGATGGTGGTGTTGATATCAATAGGTGACTGCATTACACCCCCACAGTTGCTATAATTCATGTACCAATATGCTGGACCTGCAATTTACAGTGGAGAAAGTTTTTGTGCATACCGTCATAGGCTTAAATGTTAACAGAATAAAGTTATAAAATAAGATCTTTCAATAGAATAAATATAACGGCACTTAAAATTACTTCTATAACTACAGGCAAAGTAGGTATGCTCAATTAAAGCTCTGTTTTTTTTTAATTTTCGCTTTCCTTACTTCCATATCCTGAGATGTTGTAATTCCAAGCTGGAGTTAGGAAAAAAAGAATTTTAAGTTAATGAATCATTCAAAAACAAATTTTTAAAACTTAGAATTTTAATTGTGTTTTTAAAAATTCCAATGTTGTTGAATAAATTCAATTTTTGTGTTGTCTGTTGGTTGATATTTAAAAGGAATAATTAAAAATGAATAAAGCTCATACTGTTTAAAATAAGATCACCATTACCACCTTAAAGCATTTGCACTTGACAATTATTTATTTTAAAAACAAACAGTTAAGAAGAACACGACATAACCACAACAATCATTACTCACAAGCACCATCGGCATCAACTGATCCACTCCACAAGATGATGCCAATGCACAAAGTGACCACATGGCGAACTGGAACTTTCCAAGCTTGACTACTGGTCATCTCAAATTTTATTTCTTAAATAATCTTGTTAAGTAGTTGAATTTCAGTATCACAGATTCAATAAGTGGAGATGGAGTGAACCTGTAGATGATGTCAAACAATAGAATATATATTGTTGATAGAGACAACATGTAGAAGGTTTAAGTGGAGTGGCACACATTGAAGTGGAGTGGCACACATTTTAGTGGAGGCATCTCATTGAAGTGGGGAGCCACTCATTAAAGTGGGCTGCCACTCATTTAAAAGGGGTGCCACTCATGCAAGTGGGATGTCACTCATTTAAGTGGGGTGCCACACATTTAAGTGTGGTGCCACTCATTTAAGTGTGGTGCCACTCATTTAAGTGGGGTGCCACACAATTAAGTGTGGTGCAGCTCATTTAAGTGTGGTGGCACTTATTTAAGTGGGGTTCCACTCATTTAAGTGGAGGCATCTCATTTAAGTGGGGTGCCACTCATTTAAGTGTGGTGCCACTCATTTAAGTAGGGTTTGACTCATTTATGTGGGGTGTGACTCATTTAAGTGTGGTGCCACTCATTTAAGTAGGGTTTGACTCATTTATGTGGGGTGTGACTCATTTAAGTGGGGTGCCACTCATTTATGTGTGGGCCACTCATTTCAGTTTGGTGCCACTCATTTGAAGTGTGTTCCAAATTATTGGGCCAGCAAATGCGAAGGTGTGCCTTCCGTAAGTCTAAATTATATAAATTAAATGACTGCTTTCAAGCTTAGTAAATGAATGAAATAGCAAAACGAGGTATGTGGAAGCTTGAAATAAGATAACAGGACAAAAAACAAGGACGTTTCGCAATAAAGCCTTCCTCAGCCAACAGTAGAAATGGACACGAATGGATACTTCTTGAGTTGTCTACTGTGCTTTGTTCTTTGCTATATTTTCATTTCTACTGTTGGCTGTCTTCTGTGTCATACTGAGCAGCTGAAGGAACTGAGAGGGGATCACGGATAGCTGATGTTGGGTAACGTCCGCGAACATATGATAATGCATATCAAACTGCTTGATCACTGGGCTGAACGTACATAGTGAAAAGCATAGTGAAAATGACAGGAGTTAAATGACAGTAGTTGAATGACATGGGTTGGATGGCAGCATTCGGATAACATGATTTAAATGACATGAGTTGGATGACAGGATTAGGATGATGGGGTTTAAATGTCAGCAGTTACATGACATGAGCTAAATGACAGGGGTTGGTTGTCAGGGGCTGGATGACAGGGGTTGTGTGACAGGATTTGTATGACAGGATTTGAATGACAAGGTTCAAATGACAGCAATTAGATAACAGGTGATAGATAACTGGAGTTAAGGAAAAGGATTTAGATGTCAGGAGTTAAATGTCAGGTGTCTCATAAAGGAGTTAGATTAAAGGTGTTAAGTGACAGGAGTAAAATGACAGGGGGTAAATGACAGGAGTTAGATTACTGAATGTGGATGACACCAGTTCACGCTAGTGAAAATATTAGACATTTTCTAAAGAGGACATTCCCCTTTATTATTGATAAGGACATTATAATTGATTGAGCGTTTCAAGGAGAAAGGGTCAAAGATATTTTAGTTCCACGTCATTGATGTAGAAACATGAACGTGGAACATTGACCTCTTGTTGCCAGGCCGTCACGGGTGTAAGATTCAAAACTTGGGGTCTTTGTGTGGTCCTTATATTGATATGCCTACCTCAAGTTACTGCACTGCCAACATTGAACGGGGCAATAGCCGCGCTGTAAGACCGCTAACAAATGTACTGACAGTGCTGAAATAAGTAGATTTAATTTGTCCATTGTTGAAACCAAATCTTCATGAAAACATGGCCACGATCATAAAAGCACTCGTGCATTGCCTACTCGACCGCGATGCGCCGACGTGCAGCACTTATGGCCGTGTACCAGTGGTGGTGCGCATTCTTGCAGCGCTCGTATAGTTTGGAGATCAGCAGTAAGCCAAATGGTGTTTGTATGTTAGTAAAAGGTTATATGTAAAACAAATGGCTCTATGTAAACACATAGTTTGTATGTCTACAAATGGTTTATGAAAACGAATGGTTTATGTCTACAAATGGTTTATGAAAACGAATGGTTTATGAAAACGAATGGTTTATGAAAACGAATGGTATATGAAAACGAATGGTTTATGAAAACGAATGGTTTATGAAAACGAATGGTATATGAAAACAAATGGTTTATGAAAACGAATGGTATATGAAAACGAATGGTTTATGAATGTGGAATGAATGGTTCTATGGAAGTGAACTTCTTTATGGTAATGGTAAATTGTATCATTATCTTTTGGGGTGTACAAAATAGCATAATTACATATGTCAGAGTCAGGACATCATCATTGCATAGCTGCAAATGTCAAAACATTTAATGACAAATGTTTGCTGTTTATATAACATTTCTGGCTAATAAGCTGCTCCTCATTATGTTACGGTACGGTATGGTATGTTCTTGGTATGGTATGGTAATGGTACGGTATTGTATGGTAATGGTACAGTATGGTATGGTATGTTAAGGGTACGGTATGGTAATGGTACAGTACGGTATAGTATGGTATGTTAATGGTACGGTATGGTAATGGTAGAGTACGGTATGGTATGGTATGTTAATGGTACGGTATGGTAATGGTAGAGTACGGTATGGTATGGTATGTTAATGGTACGGTATGGTAATGGTACGGTTTGATTTGGCAATGAATTGTATGGTGATGTAAGGTACGATATGTTACGGTAATGGTAAGGTACGGTGCGGAATGCACAGATGGCACTAAAAAGGGAGGTAATTTGAACATTGCAAAACTGCACAATACATTAAGAGTTATGCGGCTTCGTAACAAATTTTAGGTGTTAAAAAGTCCCGTATTTGAGGAACATCATATTTAGTTCATTACTTAGTCAAGCATTTCCTTGACTCGTTGCCATTTTTTATCAGCCCCTTAAGTTCTTTGAACTAATCTAAGCCTGGGGACATAACTACGGCAGTCAGTAATGTTGGAGTGGGCGTGGGAATTAGTTTAGTACTGAGGTCATCTCCCTTGAAGACTTGACGCCTCACAGTATTTACCGACCGTTAAAGTACACGCTACCATTTGGCCCGTTATTTGTAACTTAATGCGCTGAGCTGAGTTGGCAGCGGTGCGATGTGGCATTTCAGGGGGTGCGATGTGGCATTTCAGGGGGTGTGAGGTGACGTTTCAGGGGGTGTGAGGTGGCATTTCAGGGGGTGTGAGATGGCATTTCAGGGGATGTGAGGTGGAATTTCAGAGGGTGTGGGGTGGCATTTAAGGGGGTGTGAGGTGGCCTTTCAGGGGGTGTGAGGTGGCATTTTAGGGTATGTGAGGTGGCATTTTAAGGGATGTGAGGTGGCATTTCAGGGGATGTGAGGTGGCATTTAAGGAGTTGTGAGGTGGCATTTCAAGGGATGTGAGGTGGCATTTCAGGGGATGAGAGGTGGCATTTCAGGGGATGTGAGGTGGCATTTCAGGGGATGTGATGTGGTATTTAAGGGGTTGTGAGGTGGCATTTAAGGAGTTGTGAGGTGGCATTTCAGGGGATGTGAGGTGGCATTTAAGGAGTTGTGAGGTGGCATTTCATGGAGTGCGAGTTGGCATTTAAGGGAATGCTAAGGAATGTAGAAAAACTGGTTGTAAGTTTTAAAAAAAAATAGTTTGTGAAATGGCATGTTATTTGCATTGAGATTTTCTTGTCCAAAACATCGAGTTTCCGTGCCGATGCTGAAGACTTTAAAGCGAGTAAAGAAATGGTGCTTGGCTAAATCTCGCCTTAGATGTGGAATCATAACATGGTAAAACACGTAGAGGCTGCTGGTTCAGATATGTTCTACATTACAGAATGTTTTTTGTTTTTTTTAAAATTAAAATTAAAGAACAAAACAACAAAAAAAAAACAATCTATGTTTCCAAAGTCTGAAAAAGATGAGTTGCCCTTACATGGATTGCCTTGTGACGAAATAATTAAGTTAAAAGGTCGGATTTTTTTTTTTTTGCATGAATGAAAATGGTGATGAAGATATTTAAACCTTATTATTTTATAAATGTTTATTTCATAGTTTAAAAGTTATTTTCTCGTTTGTTTTCTAAATCACTTTTCCTCGCCTCAACTTACTGAAATGCCACCTCTCAACCCCTGAAATGACACTTCTCAAACCCTGAAATGCCACCTATCATACCTTGAAATGCCACCTATCAACCCCTGAAATGCCACCTCTCAACCCAGATGCATCACTCTCACACATCCACATCACTCTCATAATTGAAATGTGAGTAAATAAGACTTTAAACGTTATTGCAAATAAAGACAATCAATAAAATATTACCAGTCTATATCCTACATATCGGACCAGTGTCTATATCCCACACATCAGACCATGTCTATATCAATCTCATCAATGTATCTCATAAATATATCTCCAAAGTTTTCAGATTGCTGCATGTCTTGACTTCCAAAGCTCTTACACATGTAGTACAACTTGGTCAATAGCATGCAAGCACAGCATCACCAATTTAAACACAAACATAAGTGGACACAGGCAATACAACTGTGTCAATATCATACTACACCACAACATCACTCCTCATAGAAACGTGCACATCTTAGAGCACACAGACAGCGTGTGAACATTGTCCAACTGAGAGAATGTAAGACTATTTAACTGTTGCCATGCTAGACATTCTAAATTGTATTGTTTGGTGAAGGGAACTCACTCATCCCCGTGGTGGAGAGAAGAATGACGGTTTCAGGGGTGACCTTTTGTCATGGACCGTGCTGGTGAAATGCTGGGTCATCACGATCAGACTGCTCCTTACACCATAGTGACTGTAGATGTGTCCCACCTATAGTGACTGAAGATGTGTCCCACCTATTATGTCTAAAGATATGTCCCACCAATTGTGACTGAAGATGTGTCCCATCATATTGTGACTGAAGATTTGTCCCACCTATTGCGACTGAAGATGTGCCCCACCTATTGTGACTAAAGATGTGTCCCACCTATTGTGACTGAAGATGAGCCCATCCAATTGTGACTGCAGATTTGTCCCAACTATTGTGACTAACTATTGTCCCACCTATTGTGAATGAAGATGTGTCCCACCTATTGCACATTGAAGATGTGTCCCACCTAGTGTACAATGAAGATGTGTCCCACCTATCTAAAAAGGGTTTTAAATTGTATATTGATGTATCCTCCATAGAAATAGAAGCCAACGAATTGATTCAGTCCCTCTTCCTCCCACTTTGTTGTGTACCTCATGGTATACTATACAGAAAGAATAATGTACCGCTCGTCCGGGCGTTGGAATAGAGAAGCATGATTGTGTGACACTGGCTTCAGGAAGCATGAAGAAAATTAAGTGGACCTCTGAGTTAGTGACATCAACTCTCATATGACACATTCTCTCGTCAATTCAACCAGGATAAATAACACAGGGCCTTGTTTTCTATGGAAGTACTCCCAACTGTGGTGTGTTCAACTAGGTGTGTACACACAGTTTACACACAGTTTACACACACACACACAAACACACACGCATATATATATTTAGTTTAAAACTAAAAACTCGTCTTATTAATGTAATTGTATAGAATCAAAGGGTGGGTAAGACATGATGCACACTTACTAAGACATGATGCACACTTACTAAGACATGATGCACACTTACTAAGACATGATGCAGACTTACTAAGACATGATGCACACTTACTAAGACATGATGCACACTTACTAAGACATGACACATACTGAGACATGATGCACACTGAGACATTACACACACTGAGACATCACATACTGAGACATGATGCACACTTACTAAGACATGACACATACTGAGACATGATGCACACTGAGACATTACACACACTGAGACATCACACATACTGAGACATGATGCACACTGAGATATTACACACACTGAGACATGACACACACTAAGACATGACACAAACTGAGACATGACACATACTGAGACATGACACACACTGAGACATGACACACACTGAGAATGGCACACCCTGAGACATGACAAATCCTGAGACATGATGTACACTAAGACATGATGCACACTGAAACATAACACACACTGAGACATGGTCCACAATGAGACATGATGCACACTAAGACATTACACACACTGAGGCATGACACATACTGAGACATGATGCACACTGAGATATTACACACACTGAGACATGACACATACTGAGACATGATGCACACTGACACTGAGACATTACACACACTGAGACATGACACACACTGAGACATGACAAACACTGAGACATGACACACACTGAGACATGATACACACTGAGACATGACACACACTGAGACATGACACACACTGAGACATGACAAACACTGAGAATGGCACACACTGAGACATGACAAACACTGAGACATGACACACACTGAGACATGACACACACTGAGACATGACACACACTGAGACATGAAACACACTGAGAATGACACACACTGAGACATGACACACACTGAGACATGATACACACTGAGACATGACACACACTGAGACATGACACACATTGAGACATGATGCTCAATGAGACATGACACACACTGAGACATGATGCACAATGAGACATGACACACACTGAGACATGACACAAACTGAGACATGACACTCACTCACACTGAGTCATGATACACACTGAGACATAACACAAACTGAGACATGACACACACTGAGACATGATACACTTAGACATGATGCTCACTGGGACATGATACACACTGACACATGACACACACTGAGACATGACACATACTGAGACATAATGCTCACTGAGGCATGACACACACTGAGACATGACACATACTGAGACATGACACATACTGAGACATAATGCTCACTGAGGCATGACACACACTGAGACATGACACACTGAGACATGACACACACTGACACATGACACACACTGAGACATGACACATTTAATGTAACGATCTGATACAAACATTTAATGTAGCCATCTGATACAAACATTTTATGCTAGCATCTAATCCACACGATATTTCAACCATCTAATTTCAAAAAAAACTTTGGCAGCCATCCCATCAACCAATCTGAAACATTTAGTATTGCCATTGGGTTTAGCCTTACCTTGAGACACGTGATGAATTAACTCGGAAGCCTGGGTACTGTTGAGTTCTGAGTTTAGTCCTGTGTTTATAGAAACACGAAAAGAATGTACTAACCTTGTTTTGTTCCCTTGATTCAGTGACTGGTGTCCGACCACAGACAACTAACAACAAATCGCCTTGGTGTCGGGGCCACAGCTCTTGGTCAGGGTATACATACGGACTTGCCTGGTAGTGGGGGGGGGGGG